TTCGAGCGTATTCGATCGTAAGTGTATTCTTCTTCCTGCCCGAAACAACCCGAAATTTTCTCCGAGTAAAAATGGATAAAGTGTCAAAGTGCATATCAGCTGTATTGTGTTTATATGTTGCCTGCATTTACTTGGTGCTTTTAAGGAAAAGTGAATGGCCTGTTGATGTATTTTCAATCTATGTACTTAAAATCAAATTTGTGAAACCCAAATTCAATTTCCAATTCAGCGAAAACTGGTTTTCGTTTAACAGATTTTATATGGACGAAAACACAAGTTTTAGGTCGAAAACCAGTTTTAGCAACGAAAACATGTTTCCAATGTCGGTCAGAACATGGTATAAGTGACAAAAACAAGAACAACGTGAATCAGCTGTTTCTCGACTTGTGGGCACGAAATGTGGGTTTTTGCATATCCGTACTTCTGAACTTTGTTCTATTTTTGAAAGAAAATGTTTCTCTTATTCTCTAATTACCAACTCCGGTCCGGATTGTTAGGGAAAGAACCTAGTGTTGATATTATCAGTGAACTGTAATTTTCGGTTTTCTTTCCTCAACGTTTAAGACATTGTGATTTAAATAATATCAACAAAATTTCTGTGAAAAACCGAAACCGGAACGAAACCGAAACCAAAACCGAAATAAATTTTGAAGAACGAAACCAAAACCGAAACCGAAACACTTGGCAAAACCGAAACCCAAACCGGAACGTTATTTTGAATCGGTTTCATTCCTTGATTTAAAATATTATTTGGTTTTAAAACCATAAAACATAAAAGTTAAATTGAAAAGGAAAATTAAAGTTTCAATTAAGTAAATGAAATAAAATAACACATTTCACTCAAAACTATAAATTAAAAGAAAACTAAATTCAAAAACGAACAAAATTGAACTAAAACAATTAACAAAGCTTATATAAATTAAGCGAGAACAAAAAGGTATTTTTGGTTTTAAAACGATAAAATCTAAAGGTTGAAAGAAAATTAATTTAAAAATAAAAGTAACAAATGTAATAAGATTCTAAAAATTATAAGAAATTAAACATAAATATTTTTCTATTTAGAAATATAAAATTTTAAATTTAGGAGAAAACTAAAAAAATTAATATAAATATATACATATATATATATATATAAGCGCTGCCCTAGGATACTAACCCCGGATCTATCGCCAGGGTTTTGCTCACTCGGTCATTGCGTCTGTTTGAGCAGCGCGAGCAAAATGATACATACTTATACATCTGCATTTGGAATACGCTGTTGCTTTCTGTCAAAACAACTTTTCATCATGAAAGTTGGCAATGGAATTTTTTTGTAAGACTTCAGACCCACAATACAAAATATTCAATATTGTCTTTCAATAGTCTTACAAAAGACTTTCAACTATCTTAGCCAAAATTACCTGTCAGGGGTTGTTACAAACTTCTGTGCTCGACCCAACTAAATGTAAACACCTCAAATGCTCAGATTCACTTACCGAGTTTTCGAATTCCTTCTCGAATGCGATAGACTTCTCTTCAAATACTAAATTATTATTGAAGACAAAATGAACGTACAAGTTTGCTTTCGGCGCCATTTCAAAAGTTGGCAAGAATTTAATGAGTTGCGACTTGCGTCCTTCAGGCACGTCTACGTGTTCCGACTTAACAATATTGCCGCGGGCCACAATGGTGTAAACAAAGTATGGAATACTTTCACTGGATTTCACTTCAACTGTAACGGGTTTACCAAGACGTGGCCTGTAGAAAGAAGAAAAAAAAACAACATAAAATAGCAATTAAATATGTAGAATAAAAAATCAGTACTTCTTGCTGCGCCACTTTCTTCACTCACTTTTCCGTATTCACTGTCAACTTCAACAATTCCGGCGCATCAATGGTTTGTATAAATTTCGATATTTAATTCAGGTACGTTGATGTATCCAAAAATTGGCATTTAATCGAGAAGTATCGGTCAGTTTCGGGTAGCGTAAACTCAAAAGATGCCATACCGTGTTCATCCAAATTCGGCTCAAATTCCAAAGTCATATCTTCTGGCTTTTCAGTTGTGGCCTCAGTATTCGGTTCGCCACGGAAATCACGGAGGATATAGTTACGCGGTGGATCTACAATCAATTTTGCCTTATTCTTTGTGTCGCGCACCGGCGAGCCGTCCACATTCTTTACAACAACAGTTTTTTTTATCGGTTTACCCGGATGGTAGGTATATGGTACATCGACGCCTTCAATGCGATAACGTTCCGCGTGTAAGTTAACTGTTGCAGTCGCATTTTGTTTATTCCCCGTGAGTTCCTCTTCCATGATGGCCAATAATTTAAGTGGCGGCACATAACTGTGTTCTTTAGATATGCCTAATTCTTTAGTCAAGTCAAATTCTACATGACCCTTGCCATCGACATCGATAGTTTTATTTGCTTCCATGTGATCGTTGTTGCCATAATAGTGATATATTGGTTTAATCGAAACCGATGCCTTGCCTTTTACCGCTTTGCCGTAGGTATACTTTGAGCGTACGGTCACCTTAATGACGCCATCAGGAATGGCCACATCTTTGGCAGTCTCAATAGATACTTCGAATTTGGGCAATACATATTTGGCCACCTCAAAGGATTTCGTTTCTGGATTCTGGCCATCGATGAGTACATCGATATTCCAATTGCCAAGCACAGGTTGTTCGGAGAGCTGAAATTCGTCGGTATAAACACCCTTGGTCGGCTTCACATCTTTCAGCTGTTTGATGCGGTTCTGTGCGCCATCCTGCAAGGGCAATTAGATGTATGTATATATTATGGACTTTTTGAAATATATAAGCACATAGTTGAAATTAAAATATAAAAAAATACTCACATTAATCAGTATTGTAATGGGCTTATCAATCTTGGCTGGACGTGTATTAGCATCCAAAAATAGCACACGAAACTGCACTAAATCGCCCGGCTTATAGGTGGCCTTATCAGTTTGTATGATAAGCGGGTTTGTAGTCGGCATAATTCAGCTTCGTCGAATTTTCAAAAGTAATGCCAGAAACACCTTTTGCCGTAAGATTATAGTCGCCCTCTTTTAGTGTGGGCACATTGAATTCCACATTTTCCGTAGATATTGGCTGCACTTCGACGGTTTTTGTCTCATTGTACGAGGGACCTGTAATGGCAACATCGATTTTGCAGGGTCCCTCAGCCTTATGCACAGATACAGCGACATTGTATTTGAAGTTGGAACGAATAGTGCCGGGTCCAATAACTGAATAGTGGCTGCAAAGAAATGAAGCTATGTTAGTACTGATGTCGATTAGAAATTGAATATTTGGCTGTTTGAAATTTCGTTTCTATATAAGTACGTATTTTAATAACGTAGTCAACATACATAAGTGTTACTTTCTCATTAGCAATTTAAGTGAAAAAGGATTTTCTCCCTTCTGTCAGTTTTCCTAATAAATATGAACCTATGTACGTAAGTATATCGCTGAGGCCCTTAAAGTTCCCATCACCTATGAAAGTATTACCTTCAGTCTCCCTCTCCAACGTGCGAGACATTCGTAAAATATTCCCTTACGGATTCTGGCTCTTCCTCGTTTTTTCAGCCCAGAAGAAGTTAGTATAGCGCAGCGTGAGTCTGCCCGCGTACATACCTAAAACGATGTGACCCGCTGGACCAGAGAAATTTCTCATCTGCTCTGCGCGTATAAAGAGTCATGCAATCTTTTCGAGTCCCATTTAATAGGCACCATAGGAGGGGCGTCTAAAGGTCTGATTACGGCAACTTAACGTAACGTACAGGCTGTCACTTAAAAGTTCTCTTAAATGGATTGTGCTTATATTTGGGCAGGCGAAACTTAACGTAACTTAAGTAAGTTAACCTAACGTTAAGTTAAGTTGCCATAATCAGACTTTTACTCGCGAGTCATCTGTGTACGTGTTGATTCGCCTATCGACTGCACGGAGTCGAATCATTCAAAGTCATGCCAGAGTCATGTCGGTGTAACTAACTAACACATCCCACTGGGAAAATAGGTAAGCATGTTTTCTTTCAGTTTTTAGTACCAAAATTGTCATCCATGACCAATGTCATCTACTAGTAAAGCACAAAATGAATACCTCCGACGATGCATTATGTTGTCAGTTGCAAATAAACGTGCAGCCGAAGTTATTTCCAAGCGCCGAACTACTCCGAGCGACTACTCTGCATTCAGTGTTGCCAAACATGCGCTTTTCCTACCAAAACTGGTAGGTTTTTTCCATTTGGTAGGTTGGTAGGCTTGATTGGATTTTGGTAGGTTTCGGGACAATGAGTAATAGTTATTTGAGAAAAATAGGAGATATGCACTTATCTCCAAACATTTTAGCAACCTTTTTTACACAAATATTTTACCGGTGCGTTCATATAATGGCGGCCACAAACATGTAAATATACCTGATCCCTAACTACAAACGTATACCTTATTATTGCCAATATGCAATACGTACATACATATATCGTCACCTAAGGGTGAAAGGTGCCAAGTCCATTTTTTGAAATTTTTCAGGAGAGACAAAAAATCGATGTAGTTTCGTATTACCTGTCATTCTGCATCAAAAACTAAGCTTTGAAAAAAAATGGACTTGGCACCTATTCACCTTTAGGTAGCGATATAATTTATGGCGTACTTGGACCAAGATTCCAGAAAAGTCTGCCAATGGGCTCGTACTCAACCATATTTCAGGCGGAGGTCTTCCCAATCGAAGTCTGTGTTCGCGAATGTCATCGTAGAAGGTAAATGAGGCCGGAATAAATATTATATCGGACATTTAGGCCTTAGAGTCTTTTAAAACGGCATCAAGGCTTGTAAACTATTGAAGCACCTGAGAGCCCTCAATAGCGTCATGCTGTGGAGGGTTCATGGACATGAAGGGTTTGAAGGCAACGAAGGGGCCGACTGTCTCGCAAAGCGTGAAGCCCACCTACTTAGGAGCTAGCTGGGAATAATCTCAAATTGCTGCCCACTAGCGGAAGTCAAAGGGAATAAGACAATCAAAGATATTCATAACTCTTTCCAGCAGGAACTCCGAAAGACACCTTGAACCTAGAACTCTTACTGGCAACCTGACAGCACACTGCTAGTTAACGTACGGTTTTAATTAAATGGGTCTTTCTGTAGAGACGGCCTGTAGGGTTTGTCGGCTGGTGAAAGAAACCCATTCTATGTGCCTGTCCACGAAGCATAAATCGTTGATTTATACACCTTGGAGAACGATTGCCTTCTCCATCTAAAATTTGGAACATGGCCTCATCCAAAGTGCTGAGCTTTTTAAACAGCCTAAGGTTGGAGTGATTACAATTTGGATTTAGCACAATATATCTTCTTAGGTCGCAGCGCGGGTATCTTTGACGTAATAATAATAATATCGTCACTAGACACGAATAAAGAGCTCGAAATAACTCTTTGGGGAATTCTGGGTGGCAACGCGAAGAGGATTTTCTTCGCGTTCGATTAAATAAAACCACTCGCGTTTTATATTTAAAACGTTATAATGTCTATTTATTATGTTAATAATTAAAATATTTATAAGGACATATGTATATTTATTTCCGTCCAACTTTCCGGTGGCCGTTTCCCGTGTGCGGACGGTGATACGGTAGACTTTGGAATGTTCTTCCTTTCTCCACTTTCTTTTTGCCGTAACCAAAATACCGCAGGGAGAAGGCAACTATGAAGCGGAGATCGTATTAGGGCGCACACATCATTTTGATCGGAAGATTAAACACTGGGGAATACTGTTGCACTCGAAAATATAGTTGACCGCGGACATAAGTTTATGGGTCTTTCTTCGCTGTCAAAGACGGCTTTATTTGCCGTCACCTATGTTAAGAGTCTTTCTTCGCCGAAATTGATTTTACGCCTCTCTTTTCGCTAGCAACTTTTGAGCTCGCGTCTTTATTCGTATCTAGTGACGATATGTATGTATGTGTAAAGATACATATGTACATATAGGTAAGTCTGTACAATAAAATGAATCGTTATACGCAGTTAATTTGTTTTTATTAATCTAGTTGTGTTTTAGTTTTACTAAATGTTATGTTAACTATGTTTTTAAAAATTTGACATTGAAAACAAATATTAAAACTCAAAAAAATGTTTGGAAGGTTTTTGGTTGGTTATGGTAGGACATTTTGGTAGGAAAAAAAATGTGTCTGTGGCAACGCTGTCTGCATTATACGTAACTTACTTTGTAAAGCGGCTTTATTTCATATTATAACCGATCTGTGTGCCAAAATTCATTGAAAAACATTTAGCCGTTTTAGCGCGAAAGAACAACAGATATACATACTTACACAAACTTTCACAATTATAATCAGCCTCATTGCGTAAGTCGTAAATTAGGCTGCATTGTACGACTCGACAACATTAGCATTGTCTACTGTCGTGCTGAAATAAGTAAACGACGAAAATTGTCGAAAACTATGCAGTGCTGCCAAGTTCTTCCGTTTTAATACACTAGTCGAGTAGAAATTTTAGGCAATGACGCTAAATTTTCAATACGATTCGACTCTCGAAAAACGACTTGCATTCGGCACGACTCTCGCAATGAGGCTGAATATTAATTAGTAGGATAAAACATGTATAAAAGACAATCCGGTTTATCGGCCGTTGCCTTAAAATTGTCGCACATACTAATTAATTATACACACAAATTCAAAGTTATATATGCAAAAAACCTTATGCATTTTTTTGTTGCAAATGTAGCAACTCAAATAAAAAATTTGTGTTTTTCGCTTCTGTATGTGTATGTATCTGTATTTTTTTTGTGTTATGTGAAAAAATATTTTGTTTACTCTCCCATTATCGCAAACTTTCCGGACTGTTTTGTGCGATATGTCGATTTATAAAACTTTTTTTTGCTAATACTTCTGCTTGCTATATGAAAAGTTGTTAGAGAAATAACACAAAATTTTGTAAAACCAAGGTTTTTTTGCTCAATACTTTCCTATATTATTTATGGCTATTTGGTTCAAACGAAAGGTAAATGAAGCTTTATTTTGATTAATCTCACGAATTCAATAAGTCAACTTGTACTTGATAACCTCTTCACGCTACTTTGGGTTTCTTTTTTCATAGCTCACCCTATTTGCATTTCATAATTGTTTTAAATATTTCGAGGCCAAGCAAAAAGAGAGCGATGAAATATGAAACTTTTTTAGCTTGAGGAAAAAGTCTATGGCCATTTAATTTATGCATATTCAGTACGGTAACCTGGTTTCTAAGTCTGGCTTTTGCTGTACTAGCACGTGTATAAATGCGAATAGGTATGAGATTTTGAACATGTATTTGTTTTTTTATTTATTGATTAATTTAATGTGCCTAATGAACGTTCCTTCACACAATGGAGATTATATTTAAATATTAATTCAAATACATATATCCATATAATTGTTTAAATTCTAATTACAGCAAGTCATAGCTGGATGTGTATTTAAGAATAATAAACAAATCTTTTTTTTATTCTTTATTCAAAAGAAATAACCATTTTTCATCTTTTTAAGGACCCCCAACAAGCCTTCGCTATTAGTCTCCATAACTGGTTCAGATTATTTATTTATTTATTTATTTATTTGTTACAGTCTTGCGACTTAAAAGTACAGATAGGTATTTTTAATATATAACAAAGTATGCGTATATGTAAGTTTAAATTTTCAATTACAAAGCTGTTTATGTTTCTAAAACTATCAAATAACCTATATAAATGTATATTGTCTAACTAGTTTGGTAGCTGGCGAGGCCTAGTCTCCAGTCTACCTTTAAATATGTACTATGTGCAGCAGGCGGAAAGACCTTGTTTCCGCTCCGCGTTGCTCACGAGTTGGTAGTCACGGTCGGAAAGGCCGAGTCTCCGATCCATGTTCCCGTCGTCATTAATATGCAAACCCTGACGCTGGATTCCGTGATGTGAGGCGGGCGGAAAGGCCTAGTTTCCGCTCCGCGTTATGGTCGAGCTGTTGGGCATAGTCGGAAGCTTTCGTATGCTAGATCATTTGCTGCTTGGTCGGATGGAAAGGCCTGGTTTCCATTCCGTTTCGTGCTCTCCTACCTAATAGCCAGAGTTTTACAGTGATCAAATAGTTGTCTTTTAAAAGCAACAAAGTTATCACAGTCTTTAACATGTGGCGGTAACTCATTAAAACACTTTAAACCTTTATAAAATATATTTTTTTTGTCTACCTCTGTTCTATAAAGTGGGAGTCTAAAGCAATTGTTTTCCCTGAGTATATATGAATG